CACTGCCCCATTTACCATGAAACTTCGCGAAATCCTGTCATAAAGGGAAAATAGAGAAAGGAAACGATTCACTCGTTCACAAAAGAACGACAGAAAATAAAAGAAAACCGAACCGAATATTCTTCCCGAACAAATGCGAGACAAATAAAGGAAGAGAAAAGAAAGAAAACCAACCGAATGTTTAGGAAAACGAAAAACCAACAGAGAAATGGTTTTTTTTTCCTTTTCAGACAAAATAAACGAATACCCTTTTCAGAAATCGTAAAAGAAACAATGAAATATGCCACAGTTTAATTAACATGACAAAAGATCGCCGGTGGACCAAAGTTTTTTTCATCAAAACTTTCCCCGTGAATATTTCGCGGAAAAACACGGTTTTGTTCGTTAAAAAAACACTTTCATGAATAATCGTCCAAGATTTGCCCCGTTTTAAAAGCTCTATTTCACGCGGAGTCGGCATTAATAATTCATGGGTAATTTTTTGTCACGTTAATTGAGCTTTTAATTTAAACAAGATAGAGAGAGAGAGAGAAAATACGGTGCTTCAGGGGTTATAGTCGACGTATAGGCCGGCCTTGATCGAACGGTGCATCGTGCAGCGGCGGCGATTTAATAAAGGATTACACGCCGCCATGAATTCGTGTCTTAAATTTCCGTCGTGCGGGAGACAGCTTTCAAGCGGCGGACATTCCTGCCAGGATTTACAACCTGCTGAAACGAGGCACAAATTTTGGGTAAACGGAAGCGTGGATGGAAATGATAACATTAACACAGCGAACCGGTAGCTCTTCTTTTTTTTTGGATCAATTGCTTTGTACCTGGAAATAGCCAAAAATGTGGTAACAGAAACTTCGAATACGAAAGTATCGAGAAAAATTAATAAATAGTTAATAATATTGTTTCATCTGGAAAATTCTAATCTGGAAATATTAAAAAATTTATATAAAGAACTGTGAGACACTGTGTCACTGAAATATTCAAAAAATGTGGGCAATATTGATTCTAAATAAATATTTAATACTGAGAACATTCATACTACGTCGTTCTATTTTTGAAATATCGAGAAATGGGGACAATATTAACACTGAATGATTTTAATTTCAATTCTAAGTTTAGAGGAAAATTGTAAGTGAGAATTTCTGTTTTAAAATGAATATACACAATCGTAAGATTTTCTGTTGTTTAGATATTACAAAATTATTGGCAATATTTGACGTAATATTTTTCTGTTCCTTAAATATTGAGAAAAATCTACGATCTAGTCTCAAAAAACCTAAAAGAATGGAAATTGAGTAACGATAGATTTTTTCTGTCCTGAAAATATCGAAAATAAAATACACAACAATTATGAATAATTACTGCCAAGAATCGAATTCCAACGTAAAATATCCTACGATCAATCCACAGAAATGGTAATATCGAATTTCACGTTGGATTTCTAGCTCGAAAGTCTCAACATTTCTCCCTGATAATGCGATAAAAGGGAATTGAGAAGCTCGTCGACGGAAAAGCTCGTGTTTCGATGACTCGCAGGATCGTTAATCCGCCGGGAATCCTGTTGGAATTATTAAATCTGAACAAAGAGGAATGAAAAAATGAAATAAAAATAGACTTTGGAATTTCTCAGGTGAAAATAGCATAGCGAATGGGACGATGAAAGGAATCGAAGATAATTGGATGGTAAGTTCGAAGTGGAACACTAGGTATAGGATACGCTGCTGCGTCTGACCACATACGTGCTTATTCCACTTACAAGACCTATTGCCTTTAATCCACGATACCCCAGGCTGATCTAAATTGTACAACACTTGTAGGTATAATTACGCCCGTCTAATTTGACAAATTATTAACGCACTAAATGCCTCAAAGATCATTTTTTTTTTTAATTTACCAACGTCCAATAAATAATGATTACTTGTTGCAAATTTGTACGTACATGTATTAAATGCAGAATAAACTGGGACATTATATTCGTACAATTTTGAACATAATTTAGCAATTATTAATTATTAATACACAGAAGGCGTGAAAATTAATTTTTACAAAGATACGTCGATGGAGAATAGATGATGGTTGCTAGTTCTGAAATGCTTTTGGGCAGAATAAATTTCGAATATCTAAGTGGGCAATTGTTAACACAGGAAAAGTATTAAGATTGAATTTTTGCTAATATATGACGTATTCTACAATAGTAGAGAAATTTTTGAAAATTTTTGGTTCCTGTTTAACAGGATAACGGAGTATGGAGAACAATGAAGATGGCGGATTATCTGGCGTGATATTGATCTACGCCTCACTAACATCCACAGAGCTTTCGAAACGCAGCCCAAGGTGGCAGCGCCGTGCAACTCAAAAATTTACCAACCAACGCGACTCGAAATCATGTTACCGACCTTCCCGGAATATTACCATGCAACTTACCCCGAATTTTCCATACCAAGCGAAGGTACAGTAATTTTACAGTACTACGAAAATTTTCAAAATAGATCAATTTTATTCTTCGAAGTAACAATCGGGGTGAAAATTAACACGAAACCTGTAGAATAGTTGAATTTCACAAATTCAAAAACAGCATTGATTATGATCTTAAAGAAAAAACTGACGACGAGATTGACTACCACATCACCATACCAAATGGAAATCCTAAGTAAGCTTTCTCCACTTCATAGAAATCCACTAAATACCATCGATAAAAATCCTGAAAAAAACTGACGAGAAGATTGACTACCACGTCGCCATACAAAATAGAAATCCTAAATAAGACCACCATTTCATTCACTGTGACCACTTTATTCACTACATCCGCTTCATCGATATCCACCAAACATCATCGATAAAAATCTCCCAAAAAGACTGACGGCAAGACTCGCCACCCCATCGCCATACAAAATAGAAACCCTAAGTAAAACTTCAACCACTTAATTTAAAACCCCGAAAAACAAAGAAAAACACTCAGGCTAATAAGAAGCATTATTCCCTTTCAGCTCGTTAAAAATTGTCAACGTGGTGTGTTCAGAAAATTAGTCGAACCGTAGTAAGTAAGACCGATAAATCAGTTTGCCGAAGTAATGTTGCGCGGTCCCCCGAGACGGAGCTAATTAACACGCAACTGTGCAATGCTCTAAAGTCCGTTCAAAATAAGAGTAACCTCGCCCTCGGACCGATTTTCGCCCGTTCTGCGCAGCACTCACTACTGCCCACCGATGTGAGACATGCGATTGGTCGTAACGCCATTTCGGCTAGGCCCAAGAGAGACGTCAACGTAAACAGTGCATAGAGTGGAGAGAATCTACCCGGTGGTCTAAAAGTATGCGCACCTACTGTGTGCATGTTAACTAGAGCTGTTACTTAAGAGATACCCGGGTTACTCGTGAAATACTCGAGTAATCAGAAAGTATCCAGGTAAATAGAAATTATCCGGGTATCTCATGAGATGAGATAGCTGAGAGTAGGTATCTATTATTCCTCGACTGATTCGGCAGAGGTTTCAAAACAATATTGTGTAGGGTACAGGCGCACTTTGACACGTCGGCATCGTTGCATCGCTGTCGCGACCGATCCGCATTTGTTTGCCCGGGGAACCACCAGCGGTAGTGGCCACCGAGATTTCGGCTGTTTTATGTACATATTTGAGTACTCGTGAGATACCCGGGTCGATCGGGTTATTTTCATCTACCCGGGTATCTCATGGGTATCTCAGATACCCGGTTAAAAGTAATAGCCCTAATGTTAACACAGCCGGTTTATGACAGACGAATAGTGGCTAGTTGTATGAATTTAGCCGGACAAAATAGAAATATCAATATTTAGGGAACGATTCGAAATCATTTAAATTCTTAAAAGACATATTGTAAAGTACCTGATATCGTTAGAATCATCTTAATTGCTAGGGCAAATAATGCTGTCTATTCAGTCAACTTGGTATAGGCTTCTGTGACGCAAAATTTCTGAGCAGTAGTTGGTGAATATTGATTAAATGTTAAGAAATTTTCATATATAGTGTAAAATATTGAAATTGAAAATATCTCCTCAACGAATAGTTTTCCTGTATTAAAAATAATTTCATTAAATCTTTCGAAAGCACTTGTACCCATTCATATGCTAGCCACTGTTCGCACTAATTCAAAGGTGAAACTTTTTTATTTTTGACGTTTTTTTAATTAAACTGGTAATAACGTATTTGTGAAACCTTTCTGATTAAAATGATCCAAACACGATATAATTTGGATTATATTTACTTATTATCATTTATTAAGTAAGCAAATGTGCTCCGAATTATACCGTGTTTGGTATCATTTTAATCAGAAAAACGTGGCACAAATATGTTGGTAAAAATTTCATTCGTTACAAATCAAAAATAAGAAAGTTTGATTTTTGAGTTACGGGTCGCAGCTTATTCGTTTGTCCTCAACTACTTTAAAACAGGAAACGTTCCAGAAAAAATATTAACGATTTTCAAAGATAAAATTATCTATTGCAGCTATAAACTTGCTAAAAGGTGGGCGGGAAGCAATCCGACAAAAGGACGATTTTTAACACATAGAGTGTCGCATGATTACAGTATGGAAGAAAATCAGAACAGATCTTGAAATTCTTTATGTGGTCGTAAGAAACATTCTTTTAACGACAGCAGCAATAAGACCAAAAAGAGAACAATAGAAAAGTAAATAGAGAATTAATTATATCACCGTGTATAGGAGGCGATACGCCCGGAACTGTAGCAGAGGGTACCACGGAGAAAAACGTAGGCGGTCAAGTAGGGGTTCGGATGTTCTAGCCCTGCCTTACGCGAAGCGAGGTTACTCTTATTTTGAACGGACTGTAGGACTAAGACGACGATCGCAGCACATTAAGGTTCCGGCGCAAACGGAACAATTGCTCGGAGCAAGCAATAAAGACACCAGTCAGACAGAGCACGTAATAGAGGGGAGCGCGCGATTCACCTCTCCAGAGAGTATCCAGCCTGATAAGGGCGTGAAATATTCCTGATTTATACTCACCGCACTTCATGCCCGACCACCACCGTCCAACCTCTGCGTCTTCTCCTATCTTTCCTGCGCAACGCTTCCGCGACACTGAGTCTCTCCATCGCGACACGTGTTCCCGACAAATCTTCTCACCCTGCTAGACTCACTCTAGCCCTCCCTCACTGGCCACATGCTCGAAATTCCTCGTGGAGAAGCGCCATGGTGGAACAGACGGTGTGCTCGAGTAGGGTTCGATGAACTCTGACCCTCTTGTCTGCTCCGCGAAGTGGAAGCTCGCGAGGTATCTGAGGCTAGATCACTTGGAAACACACTATTTTCACGAATTCGCACAAATCATCTTCGTCCAATTTGAGGGGCAAGGGCTGGATAAATTGCTGAATGAAATCCTTTGTAAAGTCACATTTTTGGTTGCGGAAGGTAGATACCCGGGTTCTTTGTTGATTAATCCAAGTTGATCGCTGACTGAGTGTGATTAATTCAAACTGTGCGTTTGCTTTTTAAAGGTGAGATTTAGGGTTCGGAGGATTCATCAACAACGCATAATCGATTCAGATTGGCCACTGAGTGTGATTAATTCGGCGACGAAGTAGGATTAATCCTTCGCCGAGGAAGACACTTGGTGTTTGCTTTCTTAAGGTGAAATTTTCAGGGTAGTTTGGTAGATTTTTAAGTTTGCTTTAGAGGACGAGAATTTTAATCAATTTTCATATCAGAGAGCATAATAGTGATTCTGTTCGAATATTCCTCAGTGCTAGATCGTGAACGAAACTTAAGATCAACTCAAGAATCAGAAGACTTCGTTCAGAATAGCAGTTTTAACTAAAACATCAAATATACACTAGTTCCGGTTGATCCAATAGACGTAACATTTTTCAAAACCAAAAAAAGCACCAATTTCATAAGCAGGAGCCTCCTCGACACTGAACCAAAATTGACACAAATATGTTGCACAGAACTATTAGACACTCCAACACCATAATCATCACTATAGTTCACTATGCCGTCAATTTTTCTAACTCGTCATTTTTTTTAACGCATTCGTCAATTTCCCTGTTGTTTCGATCGATCTTGGCGAAAGATTGAAGAAGAGACGAACAGTAGCTGGATTCTCCAAGCGGAATCGAGGAGTAGAGGGTAGAGAGCGGGGGCCACGACTTCCGGCAACTCTGATCACCTTATCAGCCTGGCGAATCACCGCGAGAGGAACGCATACACGCATCAGATAAGCAACCGAGCTTCGCGACGTACCGCACAAGACTGAGTGCCGTATTGTATTTATAGAGCGAGTCGGATTATTTTGAACGGCGTTGCTTTTCTCACGTATACACGTCGTTTGTTTCGAGGACTATGCCTCCCCCTCTGTGGAAACCCCCTTCGGATCGACCCTGAGACCAATTGCAATTTTTATTGTCGGATTATTTTCATTTCGCTGAGAAGCTTGCACGTTGTCGTTCGCTCTTTGCCAAAACGTACAGTGTAGGTAAGCAATAATTAGGCTAAGGATGTTCGGGCAGAAATCTACGTTTTTATGGGAAATTGGTGATAAACTGGAATTATAGTTGGAAATTTTCTTTGCTTTGAGAGGGTCTTAATCGTGCACTTTTTATTTTCTTCTTTCTTATAAGAAAATATGCAAAAGTATATTTATAAATTATATGACAGACGTTTTTCTTTGTCTTCAAAAAGCTTTAACCATATATTACGTACTTTGCATAGTTCCTATGTTTCGTATCCTTTTTCTCTGAGAGAGAAAAATATGCAAAAGTATGTACCATATTTCAGATTTTATCATTCTATTATGTTATCTATCATAGTTTTCGTTTATCAATTAATTTGAATTAATTTGAATTGATAAAGGCCGTCAATTAACTACAGAATATGTAAATAATGCTGAATAATGAAGATTCCATTACTACGGCACATTTTCGACATACTTATTATACATACATCTCACATATGTTATTTGCATATTTTCACATATTTTAAAAATATCAACAGTCGAGTTCGGTGCTGAAAATTCTCAGAAAAGTGCCCTATTCTTCCAAATGAAATCGAGAATACCTAGAATTGAAATTTTAATTTCAATTATTATTCAAAGAATACGTTCCAAATTTATGTTCTGACATTTCTCAAAAAACTGTTATATATTTCAGACACTTGATGTCAGTCGCCAGAGTCGTCAACTTATGGAGGTGTCATGATCTCCTTTTTACTGCCTTCCATTCCACCACAATGAATTATTAACCCCGGAGTCCGAGAACTTTTGTTGCACACTTTATCGAGTACAAAAGATTTGAAGAAAAAGGGACGATCGTTGTGAGAAATTTCGTGGTCAAACAGATTTACGTTTTTCATTCCGAAAATAATTCTAGAAATTACAATTAACAGGTAAACGCTGTATCGTTAATCGTAATTTCTTTTCAGTGTACTGTGTACACCTTCACTGACAGATCTGATCAGTATGAATAGAAAATTGAGCACCACTGCGAAGAAACACGCGACGTGACATTTTTTATATAGTCTCTTTGGCACGACCACAGAGTCACATTTTATTAGCTGTACCAACGTCACAGCGATGGATTTTTCTCCCACACGTTTTTACAATTCCCAAGGCGACGTGAGTTAGTAGTTCTCTAGAACCTTCAAATCGATTTGTAATCTAAAAACCATGAAACATTCAGTCTGGTCCAAATTTTATTCCGCGAAATTCAGAAAATGTTCGAAAAATTCCAACGCGCCCGCACATGAAATTTTCCAAAATGACGGAGACGTGTATTCTAGGAAATTCATAAGCCACCATAGGACCGCTAACAACTTTGTCATGAAAATTACCATTCTCTCCCTCGCATTAAAAACACTTTTCTCGTAAAAAATTGCCGTTATTTTGTTCGCGTTAAAAGAATTTTCGCCATGAAAATTATCGCTGTCACTTCCACATAAAAAGCAATATCTGAATTACAAATTGCGCCTTCGTCGAACTAAAAAATTACGGAATTCATTTTTCTCTAAATCAACTTGACCGAACACAACCAAACCTAAACGAAAATTAATTACGACCAGAAAAACGATCAGTTTTGCCCGCTACATTTTTTCCCGCGCAATTCATGAATCTTGGAACAGAAAACCGTGGAAAAGTGACAGAAAATGAAAGTTATTCAAGATGACTCAGAAACTGTTTAAAAAAAAATAATCTAACTATGAGAAACGTATAATTTTTTTTTTCATTTTCTATTACTTAATTGTCGGTTTCTTTAACGAGAATGTTATTTACCTCTGAGAATTTTTTAAACGAAGTACAAATAACGAAAATTTCTCAAACAATATAAGAATGAAAAATAAAAACGAAATCTGCAAAAGGTGTTCATAGTGAATTACTTTAAATTTCATGAATCTTCTATAAGGAGGTACACATTTTAGTTTTGCTAAAAAAAAAAAAGATAAACATAGATATATTTACAATTCTTGGAATATTTGTAGGATCTATAAAAACAGATTCAAAGAATTTGATGAAACTTCAGAGTAAGGCGCACTGAAAAATAATTTTTTTTTTAGCAAAAGCAATACGAATTGGTCAAATTTTTTTATCCCGTAGTTCCCGTTCAGTCGTTTGACTTTTGTCGAAATCGAATGCTACGTTTTGCTACTTTTACGTATAATTTAATTTTGAAGATCGCCACGACGCGGATCAACCATAAATACCTCTTCTAATCTGCAAAATTTGTTGCGCCGCGGAACAAAATTACGAGCGGAAATGGCTGTCACGAGATGTTTTATTTGGCAGACATGCAAGTGCCGTTGTCGCATAACTGTTTCAACGAACCATCGGGGTACGCATGATCGATCGATCGATCGATCACGTGGCCGGCCGCGTTATCCCCGATCAACGACATTTCACGCATCCAACCTAACGTCCAGATCCTCCAAGTTCGCATCGCAATGGACACGTGTTGCTTTTCGAACGATCCTATGTTTACAAAATATTCGCCAATACCGTGACAAACGGTGATTAATCGACGATGAAACCGTTGCCAGGGATAGCGATTCAACAAATCGTTCCTTGTACTATCCAATTTTCTTCGCCGGCTGATTTGTGGCCTCGAGCATCAACTGGCATTCGTGGAATATTTATACGGAATTCTTTCCACACTTTTCGCCGTTCCAATGGCGAATTTACGAATCTGCGTTGTACGCGCTATTTTGTATTTATCTTGTCGCCAAAGTATGACGTGGTAACAGTTATCAAACCTACAATTTTCGGGTGAATTCACATTTCAACATAACCTAACCTTAAAGAACTTTTTATCATACAAACTTTTTAATCTAGCTTCAAATGATATATGTTTATATAAGAAAAATTGGGACACCCTGTATATTAACACATTACAGCTAGCTAGATTAGGGGTGAAAAGAGAAAGAAACAATGTCGTGTGTCACTAAAATTTGTGGTCATATGCAAGCTGTGTTCATATCACAGACCACTGGTTACCAATCTGGAGCCTTTAATTGATCAGCTGAACAATTAAAAAACAAAAAGTTTCTCCTGGGTGTTTCCATAATTCTAATTCATTCCTTGTAGTTTTTTCGTGGCAAGTGTCCATTTGTATTCCTCAAACTCGAATTGCAAAAATAGTCGAAGATTTTGGAAGATTGGACAATTTATAACGTGGTGACTGTTGGATTGATGAGGTTAGGTGGGACGAAAATAATTCTACAAGAGCCAAAGAATTTTGTCTGTTGGAAACCGACGAGCATAGCAAAATCTCGTGGCTGATGTCAGCCAAGTAAAGGTGAGAATTGTTACTAAATACTATCTCGTTTACTGTACAAAATTACAATGGTCTTACTGTGTACGAAATTGAAGCGTGATTTAGGATCTACATACATGATGATGGGTTTGTTTGATCTGTTTGATCTTCTCAAACGGGGGTTCGTAAATAATTTTATATCGGGGAATTGATTTGTAATTTTTGAAAAAGAATAAGGACTATAAATTGAATATGAATTTCCAATTCACGCACTCGTATTAAAATTTAATAAATTTCGTGTTTAAATAGTATTTAAAAAAAAACACACCCATATAAAAGAAATAAACTTGAAGAGCACACGAATTCTCAACTTAACCTCAAAAATAGTCACTTTACTATTCCCATTGCAAAGCTAACCAAAGAATTGAAAGGAACCTAACCTAACCAAATACTATATTTGGTATTTAGCTATAATTAACTGTAAGAAGGGTTCAAAGGTATAATTCATTCTAACCACGAAAAAGAGTCCTGACTGAATAAACCGAAAGAAAGACCATAGGTGCAAGAGGTGGCGATTTTGCGCGGCGCGACCAAGTTATGTTTAGAATCGCCTTGATCGCCATCAGGTCGCCGATTATTTATCGTAAACAAGAAATTCTGCGTCGCGACGTATAAATCGTGGGTGCGCCGGGGGCCAATTATAATGGGCCGTATTTTGGGAACCGTGGTGGCCAACCTCGTGGCCATCTTCATTTTTCTCGAGAATATTTGCAGCCACGTGGGCAGCGTGTGATGCAACACGCGAATATTGTGAATCATAACCTGTTATAATCTGGCCAAAGGACTTTGGCCAACTTCAGATCTATAGCAGGATGACACTTTTTGGCTGGATATGCTGCCACTTGACTGACAGGCATGCATCAATGAAGAAATCAATGTTTTCAGTATTCGTGTTTTTGTTTGAAGCAGATTGATTTGGTATTTTGAGGTTAGGAATGGACCATTTTGTGGTGTTGATGTGTATCTTTCTTTGGATTATTTGGGAACTTATGAATAAGGAT